CAACAAAAATCAGCCTTGGTGAGCTTAAGAGACCTTTAAAAAAATATCCAAACTTTTGACCTGTACTGTAGCCTATAATAGATCTATAGCCTACACACACGCTGCCCTACAAAGGCAAAGTGCAGTAAATACGCAAACAAAGAAACGGAGAAAAAAGCCTTTAAAGTTTTTATACCAACCAGTCAAACATGTTATGGGTAGATTAGTGGTAATGCATCTCCGAAACGGGACATAATTTAACCCCGATATTTTTTCACAAGACAGAACACGTCAGGCGTAAAAAAAAAAATAGTTTGTTTCCGGTTTCCGACCGACCCTGTCAATTTATGTGCGACCCAAAATTATTTTATGAGCTTGGGGAAGAAATAATAAAAATTAAATAAATACACAAATAAAAAACTCTGAGGCGAACTAATAATTTACGTTTTTGTACAGCTCCGTCTTTTTATAGCACGCGATGTAAGATGCATCTTGTCCTCCAGCAATCTATTAACAAACGAGGCAGATATCGTTCGTCAAACTGAACTATAATACATATTATACAAGTCTTTTTTTGTAATTTAGGATATTTTTATTCATATTCGCACACATACAAATACATGCATTCATAGGCATGCACACACCACATACTAATACCTCCATCCGCCTAGTTTTATTAAAAAATCATCCTATCATGATCCAACCATGATCCCAATCCCATCTTCTGCTGTCTAGCACTTCTTTCGCCATGTATTTGTTCGTTTCTTTCATTATTTTATGCAATCCAAAACACTCTAACCTGCCGCGGTTCGTATCTCTAGAGCCCGTCTAACTTGTCCGCTTTTCCGGGACAAATTGATTTTTGAAGGACAAGTAAAAGAGAATTTTACTCGCCCTAACGGATAAGTAGACTGATTAGAACATCAATAACAAACAAAAAAATAACTAGGGAATCTCTAAACCGAGAGAATGATTCTGATTTTATTACATTTATTGCAAGTTGCGATCGATTGTGGATAATAAATGTAGCAGGCCTACTGTATTACTGATGGTAAGGTTGCGCTGTTGACGCTCGCGCAGAGAAATCTACACACATGAGCGGAGCACACACACACAACAACATACTCTGCCTATAAAAAAATCTAAATGTGGAGTTTTTATATTTAACATATGTTAAGCACTAAGCAGCCTCAATTATTTTTCCTGAATACCATCACGATTGAAAAAGTGACATTGATTTCATACAACAGTTCAATAAACAGTTAAGATTAAGTCACTTACTGTTTATAAGCAATATTGGGTGTTTTTGTTCCATTTCAGCAGCGAAAATAGTTCCAAAGAAAAGTCACAGCAGAACCACGACGCATCTCACAGGAACTCATCCTGTTTTCATTACTGAATGATTCAGCATTTTGAACGAATCGGTTGAGTCAATGATTCAATGACCCATTCATAAACATCAACATCTGTCTCATTCTTGAATGAATCAACCGTTTGAACGAATCGTTTGAATTAATGAATCAATAACTCACTCATTTATACGGCCGCCTGCCGCCACCTATTGGCAGTTTAGTGTTATGTTTATAAGTAGCCTAGTATAATTCTTTCCAATATTTCTTATTTGCACATTTAAATCAATTTCATAACATTATTTTATGAAATTGTAATTTTTCAGTGTAAATGATTTAATTTCATCAGCCCTACCTAGGGTAACAGTATGCTTCATCTTTCATTTTAAATTCCTAAATTTGATCAATAAATTCAATTATTTAGAATAATAAGACACTATAGGGCATTTAATAATATTGGTGGAGGGGATGCCCTTAAAGGTGCAGATATTACAATTTGCCTTTTTAAATATCAAAGCTGATTGATATTTTTTTTACTCGGACAAGTGATTGACAGATTTACTTACTTGTCCGGAGGACAAGCACGTGAAAAGGCTTAAGGGGATAGTTCACTTTGAAAGTAATTTTTGATATGTTTTAGCTTAACTCAAGGGCATCCAAGATGTAGGTGTCTTTGTTTCCACAGTAGTTTCAATTTTGATATTTTTAGGTTTGACTATCCCTTTAATGTCGAGCCCTGAATAATTTCCTACCCATCCCTTGCTGCCACTGAAAAAAAAAAAAAAAAAAAAAAAAAAAATTCCCTACCGACCCATGACCTCAACTGACAACCAACCGGAACCAAACTTTTTTTTTTTTTAGGCCTCATAAAGCCCTTTACAAGTCTTAACTCATTTTTGACTAAATGTGTTTACTTAGCTTTGCCTTTGTAGGGCACAGCAAAACAGATTATGGTGCATGTATTTTTGACAATGTATTATTATAGGCTATTAACAAAACCTCATAATATGTAAAAACCGGTAAAAACACTTAGGCTACCTTGGAGTTTGTGTTACATTCCACACATCCAATGATCCTCAGTGTCCGTTAAGAGTTGAATAGGCTACACACAGGATAGGTAACAGAATATTGTGATTTGGTTTGCCGTTTCGGTCTCCCTTTAACTGTTGTCTTACTGTTGTGTTGCTGTCTATAATTCTCTCTCATTCAGTCTAATATTTTAAAACCCGACGCCACTGTAAAATTTTAGCACAAGCACACGGTAAAATTTTAGCACAATCCAGCACAAACGAACGAGACTATTTTGGGTGAATTTTGGATTTGTGGAGGCTGGTGAAGTCATCATTAATAATGTAATGTCTAATATTTTAAAACCTGACGCAGCACAAATGAATCTTTTACCGGCACAATCCAGCACAAATGAAGCACAAACAACCGAGGCTATTTTGGGTGAATTTCGATCATGTGGGGGGCTGAGTGACCTCAGGTGACCTACCTAAAAATATTTTAATATCTAAAAAACCGAAGCAGCTGAAACGAAACGTTTTACAGCACAAACCAGCACAAACGGAGCACAAACGAACGAGACTATTTTGGATGAATTCGAAGCATGTGGGGGGCTGAGTGACGTCATCGACCTAACCTTCAATGATTAATATTTAAAAATCCAAAGCAGCTCAAACGAAAATTTTTACAGCACAAACGAACGAGACTATTTTGGATTAATTTGGAGCATGCGGGGGACTGATGACGTCATCGCCTATAATTCAAAGTCTGTTATTTTAAAACCCGACGCAGCACAAACGAAAATTTTACCGGCACAATCCAGCACAAACGAACGAGACTATTTTGGGTGAATTTTGATCATGTGGGGGGGCTGAGAGACCTCAGAATGACCTAAAAATATTATTTTAATATCTAATAAACCGAAGCAGCACAAACGAAACTTTTTACAGCACAAACCAGCACAAACGGAGCACAAAGGATTGAGCATATTTTGGCGACGTTTTGCGTTGGGTGGGGGGCCAACTTCACGCAGGTGTTAAAAATCCGTACAGTGCTTGTCACAGTTGTGTTTGAATTCAACACATACAATATTGTACATTTTTATTCTGCTAAATAAACCATGACAGGAAACAAATTTGGGGTCAATTTGTTCTTTAACATCGGTAAAACTGCGCACATTACTTAAAAATATACTCAGGCACTTAATTACTTGTGTATTTACTTATTATTGAATCGATATCGAAGCTAATAAGTCAATGTTGAATCGAAATCGAATTGAATCGAAGCCTCAAGAATTGAAATCGAATTGTGAAATACCTAACAATACCCAGCCCTAAATATATATATACAGTATATAAGCCAGGTAAATTATATTGAGGGCAAGCCTCTGTCCTCTGACAAGCAAAATTTATGCCAAAAGTCCCAGAACTATTTAGGGATATCAGTCAGGATTAAAACAGAATAGAACACGCAGCTCAGATCTATTCAATGACCTTCTTGAAACTTTTCTTCTGAGTTTTGTTCTATAATGTCAAAATATAGCCACCAACTTTCCATTTGACTGAATTTCCATTGAAACTGCACTGTTGATCTACTTTGTCCTGGTTTGCAGTCTGTATGCACACAAGAAACTTTCAGAACAAACAAAAGCACAAGGTACACAACAAGTTAGGTGACACCCAAAATGAAGAAACATTGAAAATCTCTCCATGTTGCAAGACCAAAAGAAGAACAAGATGATCTGCAAAAAATACTTAATATAGCAAAATATATAAGGGTTATAACATCAGGAAAATCTGTGTACAGCTAAGATAAGCATACAAATTGACCTTTAAACCTTGCCTTAGACTGACAGCAAATTGTTATTGGCCAGCTCAGCAAAAAGTGTTTCATCACTGATGGGTCAAAGGCTGAAAGATTGACATGTTTCTGGCCTACTTCTCATTGACTGAATGAATAGAGGACAAACCTGAAGGTGAATCAATCATTCCTAGTGAAGACTTGTGGCAAAAAGATCAAAAAGCTACCCAAAATATTCACATGCATCACCTTTCAAATCAGTGTTCCAGGAATTATGTATGTAGGCTTCAAATGATTCAAATTTGATTCAAATTATTGGTCACACTATTTAAAAGTGAATATTTTAAATAGAATCATGTCAGAAACTCCAATATAGTTCGTTTAGATCATATCTAGAACAGAATCATTAGATTTGAAAGTTCAGAACAGATACTTTCACGGAAAAATCAGAATAGAATCTTTATAGTATAATCTCTGTCTAAATTAACGTTACTTGAAAAACACTAATCAGACTGCATTGAAGGTCATCTAGTGTTTTATAAACATAAACGTTTGCTGACATCAGTTATCAAATATCTTAAAGTTCAGAAGTAAGACACAATTATGAATCATTCTCCAAAGAATCCCAGATGGACCATCTAATATGTCATTATACTAAAGCATGTATTCAGACCGCAAGTTCTTAAAAAATTTAATCGTTAAGCAATTTAATTCGTTAAGCAATATGTATGTTTATATATGTGCAGAATAAATCATCATGTCTGGCGCTATAAACGAACAGACAGCAGCTGCATCACGCAGTACTCAGTTCTTCTTCAGGTCACATCACGCACCGGAGGATAAACGTACAGATCAGCGATCTGTTACCTGGTTGTTTCTGCTGAAAAGTAGTTGTTTAGTGCTCGCAGCCCGGAGTCCTCGCACAGCCGCCTGACATGCCATGGATGCCGCCATGTTGAACCGGAAGTAAGTCCTGCAGCGCTGACACGTGTGTGAGAATGACAGTGAGCGTTGGCTGACTTTTGCAATGTTGTATTCATACTCAGAAACCCGCGATTCAACCATAGAACAGGGTTGTGGATTATTTACACAACATCTCCTTAACCTCCATGTAGCCGATAGGACTACTTATAGGACAAAAGTTAATTTGCACACATAAATATGCATGTAAATGTGCCATATGCTATTAATCTATTAATAAAATATTTATATGAATAAAATATTACTAAATAAATAAAAGAAAAAACATATAAAGTCTATATATAACATACTTTTCAATTTATTTTGGTTTTTCATTTATTTTTGTTCAGTATTGGTAAAAAGTGATCTTGTTAAAAGCTTTTTGCATTGCCAAAAAGTATTGCCAAAAAAAGTGTGAATCTTGATTTGTTAATAATTGTTGCCAAAATAAAATGCTTTTTAAATACATCAAAATATTCATATATTATGTAATGTAATATTATAATTTGCATTAACATTGTTATGGGATAAAATGTGTGTGTGTTTATATATTTTTCATTTTAGAATTATTGCCAAAAAGTGTGTGCTCTTTAATGTATTCGCTCTGTCATTATTATTTTATTATAAATAATAATACAGATAAAATATAGACCTATATGTATATAGAAATGTAAGACACACACACACACACACACATATATGTATATATATATATATATATATATATATATATATATAATATATATATATAGACATTTAAGAATTAAGTTTGTGTCTGATTTTATTTGTTTAATCTTGTTTGAATACTATTCAATTTAGTGTCTGTTTGTGTCTTTAGGCCATTTGAATACCATGCCAAATCCTTACATCATGTCTCCACTGATCAAATGGCAAACAACACAACAGATAAAGGAATCAACACACAAAAGGATCTTTTGGGGGATTCCAAGATGGGTTGGATTGGCTCCAAAGCCATTCCCAAAACATTGTGGTGTGTTTCCTTGGCATTGATCAAAGTGAGGAGGTTGGATTCTCTCTCACAAATACACACAATCTATCTATCTATCTTTTCTACTCTCTTCTCTAAAAGCACTCATTACTCTCTGACACTGTGAAAGGGCAGGAAGGGCAAAATGATCATAAAAAGCTGTGATTATGACAGAGAGACATTTGCTTCAAACTGATGTGTGCAGCAGAAACCCATTCAGAGAGGATGATGAACTACTCCTGAAGAACATGAAAGCATCTCTCCCTCCCTCCCTTATTTATTTTTCATTTTTTTAAATAAGCCTCTGCCCCTTCAATACATTCAAACCAAAACATGCAGCTCAGGATATATTGACATTTTGCAATGGCAGAAAATACATTTTTTTTAAAAAAAGCGTGCATTTATTTTCAAACAAAGAATATAACAAGGAAAAAAAACATGCTGTGGTGACATATCTGGGAAAAAGTTGATTTTTGCATGTCTCATGACACTTTCAAAGTGAAATGAACAGTTTTAACTCGAAACAGATGAACGTGAATCCGGCTATGTTTTATTTTTGTTGGTTGTTGTATGTATTTTGAAATGTCCATTGAGTGGCAAAAAAAAGTTTAATGCTCTATCGTGTTTGAATATAATGTACACCGCCAATATTACACCTTATTCTAAACCTAACCAAAAAGCAAACATTAGATAAAAAAAAATAAAAATAAAAAAACATTGGCTGAAGCAACCATGCCATTTTAGATTGCTTTTACAAGTCTTTGAGCTGTTTATTGTGATACGTGTTTGTTGGAGGAGAAACGGTTACAAGGCCATTTTACTTGGGAAATTTTGTGGAGAATATAGTAACAAGAAGAAATGTTTAACTTGGAAAAAGATTGCTACGACAGTTAACAGCATTAATCCGACCATTGAGCGAAGCATTAAAGACGCACAGAAAAGATACAAAAACATCACTGTAAAAAAAATATATATTTTCATGATTTGTAATCACAACATTATTTCTTTTGTCAAATCAACTTAAATAATTTATGTAGTTCAGATAACATAATATTTTAAGTTGCTGGTGATTAAATCAATCACCTTTGTATTAACTAAATTTTTTCATTTTCCATTTTCAAGCTGAACTTAAATTTTTAAGGCAGCCTGGTTACTTCTTTTTTTTTAAGTTAAACCATATGTTTTTTTACAGTGTAGTACAAGATGCCAAAACATAAATATCCAAAAACGGGAGGAGGACCCCAAGAGAAACTTAAAGACACCACTGAAATGGTGATGAATATATATGGTAAGGGCCATTTTCACTTTTCTTTTGGCTGTTTGTAATGTAACTGATTGTTACTGCTGGATGCCAAGGTAACATAGAGTCTAAGTATAGCTTGGGGGTAAGGTGTCTAATTTTTTTGCTCAACATTAAGTCAAGTTTTTATTTTTGTGAAACAGTTTAACTTGCATTAGACTAGTCCATGAGAAAATATTGTCTAACACTATAGACCTGATGCAAACCTGAAAATGTAGTAGTTAACAAAGCATGTAAGTGTTTTAAGGTCATACAATACAGTAGTATGTGCAAAGAACTGTGTGAGTATAACTCTTAAACGAAACTAATGACAATTGTTATATTAAAAGGAATAAAGGTTGTTGGTGTTTTACTGCATATTGTGTTCATTTCAGCTGGAAACTGCATTGATTTACTTCCCCAACTACCTATATTTCATTCTTAGACTTTGTGCTTGCCCATCTACATTTCCAGCTACTTTTTAATGGGAATAGATCCATATTTTCTTTGTCTTGAATATCCTTTACATTTCACCTTTTTAAAATCCAGCCGTTGTACACAAACAAAACTTGCACACAAGGCACAAAATCCCAATCTGTCGACCAAGCTGTCTTTTTGAGGAAGGATGTTTGTTTCATGGTATAAGAGCGCTGTATTATGATAATGAAGCTGACCTGAACTTAGATGTTTAATAAAGGACGAGGATTCTCCTCAGCCCACCGAACAAAGCCTTTTGCTTCTCACGCCGCATTGATAATCAGGGCTTATACAAACATTTATGCTGCGGTCACATTTTCCACAGACGCGTGTTGTATTTAAATTCGAAAGCGTTCAGAACGCAAACTTTTCCAGTACAGCGGTCGGACCTCACGATTGCCATTGTTTCGGCCTACTGTTCCAGATCCAGTGTCATTCTAAGACTGCGGCCTTGCAGCACAGGCTCTGTTTCAAATGTTTCTTCGGTCTTTTTCACGTTCTTTTTGTAGGGAATGTATTTCATGTCCAACTTCCCTCGAGACGTGAAAGCCCCAGATGTTGTGATGCAGTGATAACACCTCCTTTGCTTTCAACTCGAGTGAGGGGTGCAAGGGCTTGTGAATTCTTTCATAAATAGTAGTTTCTGAATGCAGTTCCTCCTCATCTGGACCTAAAAGCGTCAAATATTCAAAGCCAATACCTGCCTGAGGACGACTGGGCCTGTTCCATCTTTTCTTATACAAGCAGCCCAGTTGGAGCCAACAAAGCTTTCCTGCATGAGCCTCTCTCTATGATCAATGTGTGTAACCCAGGTAGATGCATGCATACGCACTGCGAAAGCGAGAACATCTGGCCCCCTCATTGGACATCAGTGTGACACTATAGGAACTATTGGCCTCATTAGCTAAAGGAGAAAGAGGGAAAGAGAGCGAGTGATGCCTAATTTCCCTTCCTTTCACAGTCTGGTTCTCCAAACACCGAAGCCCCGAAGCACGCTAAGCCTCTTACCTCTCTCTGTCTCTCTCTTTTTCCTCCACAAACCAGTTCTGAAGTCTTTTCTGCTCCCCTTCACCCTAACCCACTTTAAAAGCTATTCTCCTCCAGCTCAATGCAAATAAGGCCATTTCATTTTACTATGCTGGCAGTACGTCTCCCACTAAAAGGAATGGGAAGCGGTGGCACTCTCCATCTGTGCGCGGGATGTGGGTCCTTTTTAATGCTGTGGTGATTTTTCTTTTAGAGTATCACCAGAGTTAGCACCTAGGGCTGTGAATATTTCTGAGGTACTGCGTGTATATAAAATGCAGTGATAATCTGCAAACGGCCTTGAGTTCACATTCAATTTCATGACATGTTTGCTCACCAGTTTTTGTGGCATTAGACGGCTGTAAGAAAGCCTTGCTTTTTATTCATGAAAACGCATGCAAAGAGCTGAATGAATGCATGCAACTGCTGAGTCAACAGCTCAGACCTGTTAGAAAGCATAAAGCAAAAAAATAAATCACACCCCTCTCATTGCCAATTTTGCGCATTTTTACTTATATATATATATTTTTTTTTACTTTGAACAACATGTCCTTTAAAATTGTTTGGTCTATCATATATTAATTTTAGTAATATAATATTTTCATTACTATATGATGATGATGATAATCTCAACAATGACCATTTTAACCATTAAAACACGACTCATTCTGCAATGCATTCTAGGTACTAGCATTATACAAAACTTATCCATGGCTCTCAGCATGAATCATTTTTTAATGGTCACCATTGTTGAGATTCATATGATGATTCTTGATGTCTGTGTAAACAGCATGATACCATAAAGCAGTGGTTCCCAACGTGGGTGCCGTGACAACTGGCTAGGGGTGCTGCAGAATCACAGCTTTATTTTCCAATGTAAACAGCCTAAAATAACTATCGTACCATATAATAACTTTTTCAGCATATTTTGAAATAATATCAAAACACCAACATATGCATGTCCAAACTAAAATGAATAAGCGAAAAAAATCCTATTATTTCACACATTTAAAGTTGAAATGTTTATTTACCTCTAATTGGACTTGTCGGGAGGGAATCATCCCGCTCGCTCAGCCCTTTGTAATGGGCTCAATTTTATATTTCAGACAGATTGACAGAACAGGACAAATGGATAAATTTATACTGTAGGTTTAAAAAAAAGAAAAGCAGAAATGTCACAGCCCAGAAGACCGACGGTCTTTTTTTATAAAAAATAAAAATAATGACAGTCTCTCTTTACTTCATTTAAAATAAATACTTGTTTTTTTTTCTA